TATCCCAAGACATTTCGTGCACACCACACTAGGATCTCAGCACATCAGGAGCACTTGTTTCAATCGCGACCATAACGGGCATTATGGGGAGAGGGGGGGGGGACGGGAGGGGAATAATAACGCAACGCGCCCCCCCCCCTCCCCTGACTGTGGCGCCGCCGGATGTACTGCGGCAGTGCCAGGGGCGCACTGAGGCGGGAGCGTTACATTATGTGGGGGGATGGGGGGGGATGGGGGGCATAACGCGCGTCATGGCCTCGAAAGTAAAAAACACTGTCCAGCTGGCGGGATCATAGGCAGGCCAAGACGCTTCGCGACTGCCTGATTTCGGTGGTTCAGAGATGGGGTCCCGAGGGATGGGGCCCTATACGGAGGTGGTGCCTTAAACACTTAAAACCACCCTCTCAGGGCGTTGGCAGAACTGGATTTAATGGGACCTGGTTTAATGATGTGTGCTGGGGGACGCCCTCCCCGCCCCTTTCCACTAACCGGAACTGCCGCCACCCGAAAAAAAACAGCTACGGCAGACCCGGTTTAGTGATTCTGGCAAATTTAGAGGCTGGCTCCGAGGCCTTACCACTAACCGGGTCCCCTTACCTGGGGTCCTGGCTATATCCGACCTTGATCGACAAGCGCGTTCCACGATGCGCACAGTAACTGCTCGCAAATGGCCCAGATCCGCCACGGGGAATCTACGATCCTTTTTGCATCGAGGCAGACACGTACTTTTCGGACGTTTGCGAGTAGGCACTTTGCGGGTGGTGGAACGCGCTTGGTGACTTGGATCCACTCCTATCCTTCGGACCCCAACCAACAGGTTGTCCGTCAGCGGCGAGGCAGAGAATCTGCTCCAGCGGGTGGCGTTTCGGTGCGACCGAAGAGGCGAATTGGCCGGGGTGCCAGAGGGGGAGAAAAGGGGCAAGGGCGGCCGCGCGGAGGACCAGAGGAGGAGGAGGAGGACGAGGGCACTCAGACTTGGAAGGCTCCCACGTCGAGTGGGCGGGGGACCGCATCCAACAGGCCCAGACCCCCGACGTAATGATTTTTTCATTACGTCGACCCCCGTAGGTCCCGACCCTTTCTCCATGACTGGCTTTGCATCCTGAGTCGTTTTTTGACACTCCCGAGGCCCGGTGAGGGCCCCCCGAGGCCGAAAATTAGGAAAAACCTCCCGTCATGATTTTTTCATTACTCGAGGGGGTCTGGGGGGACCCATCCTTTTGAACCACTGCTGACTTCTGCCCCATCGAGCGATAGACGAGGAGGCGGTGCCGGCAGCCCCCGTGCGCGGAGCCGATCCCTCCTGCGCCCCGAGGAGGGGACGTGCTATAGCACGCACGCCGCGGGCCGCGGGGCCGCGCTCGTCCACGCCCAGGGTTCCTGCCGTGTCTCGGGCCGGGCGAAAGGGGGGGATAGCAAAGGGGGGGTTTGAGAATCAGCTCACGGAGCTGACTTTCCCGGCGCCTCCCGGCGCCGGGAGGCGTCCATGTATCGAGGAACGGGCCCCCGCGGTGGGGCCGAAACCAGCTGCATGCAGCAGATTTCGTAACCCCCCCTTTCCCAATCCCCCCCTTTCGCCCGGCCCGAGTGTCGGAGCGGACGCTGGTACAGTCGGCCCGCACCAGAAGGATGCGCGATGAGGATGCAAGGGCCTTGGACGACCACGTCGAAGCTCCTCGAGCGGGGCGCGGCCCACAAGAGTGGCCAAGGAGGGGCCGAGGAGGCAAGGAAGGATGCAAGGGTAACCCCTTGGGAAGGTTGCTCAGTATGCGGGTGGACTGTGCGGCCGGGGGCCTCTGCTCCGCGTGCCGTGGCGGCGACTCCGGCGGCACGCCGTGCACTGCAGGCGGGCAGCGCGTCGCCCCACTCCGCGGGGCGGCGGCCTGGGAAGCGCCCGGGGCGTTGGCTCGGGGACGGCGCGCGGTGGGCCAGAGCCGGCGCGGTGGGCCAGGACAGGCGGAGAAGCCGAGACGCGGTGGGCAAGGACCGGCGTCGCGGCACGATGAGCAACAGTGCCCGACCGTACACACACACACACACACACACACACACACACACACACACACGCACACACACACACACACACCGCAGATCGCTCAACCTTGGGCGACCTCGACTCGCCGACAGCGGAGATCGCTCCAGGCCGGCGATGTTCGGGCCTGGAGGTGGGGCCCTCGAGGGTACTCTGAAAACCCGCCCCGGTGGCGCGTCGCCGCGTCGCCGTGGCCCAATCCTATCGTACACCCCCCGCCCTTGCGGGGAAGGACATCAGATCCGTCCACTTGCCTCTTCGAGCGGTCGCCGACACGTTCCAGCATCGCGGCCTTTTCGTGACGTGTGGGCCACCGAACATCTGCCCCAACCCGCCCTAGGGGAGGCATCAGATCCGCCCACTTGCCTCCTCGAACTGTCGTCGATGCATTCCACCATCGCGGTCTCTTCGTGACGTGGGCCACTTGGTAGTCCCCAAACGTGGTGGTGACAACACCAGGCAGTGAGTCTCGGCCGATTTTGTGCCGCCACCCAGTTTGGGGGCTCGTGCGTGGTTTTTCGAGGATGTTTCGAACGCTGGTGCGTCAAGAAGTCACAACAGCCCGGCAGTGACCCCGGTAACTTTTTTGGGGAGTCCAGGCCACCACCTGATATCTCACCACCTGGTGTGGGGGCTCCCAAGCCCAGAGATCCGACGTCGTGATTTTTTCTATGCGGGGTCCCCAGAGGTCCCGACCCCTTCCCCGGGGCGGCTTTTTCATCCTGAGTAGTTGCTTGGCAGTCCCGGGGCCTGGCGAGGGCCTCTAAGAGGCCGAAAAGGGAGAAAAGCATCCGTCGAGTTTTTGTTCATTACCCGAGGGGAACTGGGAAGTGATGGGGCCACCGAAATCTCGACCCAATCCACTGGGGGCGGGCTTCGCGTTCCAGGCCGCTCTCTCTCTCTCTCTCGCGGCCCCGGGCGGGGGCCCGGGATGGCTCCCCTGCAGCAAAAAGGCGGGCCCCCAACAAAAACTGTGCAGAGACAGCCGCCGCGGGATTCTCCTGGCGGGAAGGCCCTGAGGGCGTATGCAAAGGGGCCCCAGGGGAAACAATCAAGGGGCCTGAGGACACACTTTAAGTACCCACAGATCCCAGGATTCCCCATATGTTTTATAGTTTCTGGATATTCGTCTTCCCCCCCACTTCCCATCTTTTCCCATATTTCCCTGGGTCTCGACGATGATTTGTGTCTGTGTTTTTTCTTTCCGGACACAAATCAATCGACACCAGTTTTATGATTTTCAAGACATGCTGTTCCATAGGTCCTCTGGCCTCGGCTCCTGCGTATGTAGTGTAGAGGTTTCCCGCAGTCGCGGCTGTGGGCGGGCCTCCCGCTGGGGACACAGCCGGGTCAAAGCAACCACCCCGCGTGCGGCACGCAGCCTTGAGAAGCCGAGGGGGAGCGAGCGTGAGGCGACTCGCAATACAGGCTTCCCAAATGAGCGACGGAAGACCGGGGCCTCACGCGAGATCACGCAGCGACCTTGCGCGGTGGCGAACGCGGGCCGCCAGCGTGGCACGCTGCGTGGGAGACGGGGGTGCTCACGCCCGATCTCACGCAGGCAGCTTACGCGCCAACGTCGGCGCAGACGACCCTCCATTTTCTGCGTCGCTCCAGTGGGGTCCGAGCCGAGATGGGGTCGGAGGATCGCGCCGCAGCGCCGATGCCTCGCCGATGCGTCGGCGACGCATCGGCGACGTCGACGTGGAGGACATCGGGCTCCACATCGAGCCGCATCGCTCATGCATTGGTGTCGCGGAGCGATCCTTCGACCCATTTTGCTCGGACACCATCTCGGAGGCCTGGAGGTCATGCAGCGGCGAGTACAGAGGGGAGGGCAGAGGGGGGCGGCCCTTCCCAGGAGGCTCAGAAGACCTCTGGCCTTCTGGGGAGCTTCCTTTCGGGGAACAGTTTCGAAGGTCCGCGCGGATTTCTCGGATCGTGCTGGAGCACCCTGGCGGCGCCTCCGGCGCGGCCCCTGGCGCGCTCCGCGAGCCAGGGAGGGGAGTCCAACGCAGATCCGCGAAATCCGAGCGAACATCCGAAAGTTCATCTTCGTGCCACTGCTTGCTCCCCGATTCTCAGCTTTCCCCGAAGGCACAGACGGCTTCTTAGAAGGCCAGAGGCTTCTGAGAAGCCCCGCCGCCTTGTGAGAAGGCCCGCCCCTTCTCACTTGCACACCGGGCGCGCCGCCGAGTATGAAAGGGCCCAGGGACACACAAGAACAAACACACAACTACCCGAATTCCCATATATTTGTCATTTCTTTGTGATTTTCGTCTTCCCACCCACTTCACATACTTCCCCATATTTTCTGGGAAAACGACGATTAATTGTCTGTGTTTTTGTTCCCTCCTTCGAGTCAGGCGACGGCAAGGCGATTCATCCTTCTGCCGCCTCGAGAGGCTTGGGCTGGTGTATCTTCGGCAAGCCTCGGCGCCCTGGACCCAGGATCAAGCCAAGAGTGGCGCGGGATGAAAGGCAGAGGACCCATGCTTGGTGGGCCTTCAAGGCCCACTAAGCTGGGTCAGAATTGGAAACTACAAGCTCTTTTCCCAAATGCAACCGGCAGGGTCCAACTCGGAAAAACTTGGAAACGACAGGGTCCAACTTGGCCAAAAAGAAACGACAGGGCCGTTTTTGTGACAGGTTCCGTTGTGGCGTTTGTGTTGCCGGTTCAGGCGCTGTTTCTTTGTGTTTCAATTGCCGTTGATTTGCCGGTTCCGGTTCCGGCTCCAATTCCGGAGCCGTCTTGTCACCGTCTCCGAAAGCCGTGTTCTTCGTACCGCTCCCATTCTCAAGAGACCCTGCTTCGGACACGAGGGAAAGCACGGCCCTGCCGTTTCTGGGGCCCACTGCAAGGACCCGGGGGAGAGATCGGGAGCCTCAGGGCCCGTGGGCCTGGCCAGGGGGCCCGGCGTCGCAGATCCTGCGGAGGAGGCCGGTAAGGGGGGAGAGGTGTGGGGCCTCACCGCATCACGCCGCGGATCAGGCGCTTCCGGCACACGGTCTGGAGGCCGGGGTAGGCGGTGGAGTCCTCCTCCTGCTCGATGACCTGCACATCCCTGTCCAGGTCCACCCTGTTGTCGTCGATCTCGAGCTGCCTCCGGATGATGCGGCGCGCACAGAGGAACTGGTTCTCGTCGGGGCGGCGCTTCGCACCCGGGAGCCGGTTCAGCGTGGACTTGGCACCATGCGAGCTGATGTGCTCACTCTGCACGAGCAGCTCGCTGCCATCGTTTCTGACAATCATAACAACGACAACGTCAACACACCGCAGCACTTTGCCAGAGGAGTCCTCGGACAGAGTGGACTCTCCCCTGACGAGCTCCGCCGCAACTTCCTTCAGGGTTTTCGCGTTGGGGCCACCGAACCTGCTGGTATCGACGCCGCAGTTGGTGAGGTATCTGCGCAGCGCCTCCTCGCTGAGGCCGATGGGCGCCCGCACCAGTGTCGAGATCTGCTTTGTCTGCGGATAGAGGTTGACTTTCTTGTCGTCGCACTCCTTGCTGGTCATCCAATTGAAGAACTTCGTGTTGCCCTCGGCATCGGTGGCATGCCAGGCGCCGTAGGATGGCCGTCCGCCCGCCATGGAGAGGCCGACCTTGGCGAGCTCATCACCGTCGGTCGTGGAGAAAGAACCCTCCACCAACTCCTTGCGGTAGACAGTCGTGACGCCCGGGTATGAGATGGACTCCCACTCCTCCTCCACCTTCGGTTGCAACTCATGAAAGCCTCCTATACCATCTTGTCGGCTCTTGCGAATCGACGCCAGAGACATCAAATAGACGCCAATCGACGCTCGCCGATGCTAAATCCGCGCTATCTCATCCACTCCCAGACGCTAACCGACGCCGAAGACAGAATTCAGAGGGCACACCAGGCTACCTTCATTGGTGGCGCGCACAAGGGGGTGGGGGGGAGGGGGGGTTGGGTTTTCTCAGGCGTCATTGCTTCTTAAGGAGCGCGGCCCGCCATCTAACAGATGAGGACACGCGCCTTTCTGAATGCAGGTGGTCCTTCTAAGGAAGCCCTCCCCCATTCCCCCCACCCCTCCCAGACCCCCGACGTAATGATTTTTTCATTACGTCGACCCCCGTAGGTCCCGACCCTTTCTCCATGACCGGCTTTGCATCCTGAGTCGTTTTTTGTCACTCCCGAGGCCCGGTGAGGGCCCCCCGAGGCCGAAAATTAGGAAAAACCTCCCGTCATGATTTTTTCATTACTCGAGGGGGTCTGGGTCTGCGCGTGGCTACCATCCTTTGCTACCAAGTCCACCCGCTCGATCTTCCGGAGGTCGAGCTCCACGCCCCTGGGGTCGACCCGGAGGAACTCCCGGAGGATCCTCTCGGCGACCTGCCGCGAGTTCTCGTACGGCTCCTTCGTGGTGCCCGGCAGCCAGTTGGTGACGCGCTTGCGGCCGTCGCAGAACTCCTCTCAGGTCGGGCGTGTCCCCCCCCACAGTCGGACTTGCGACGAACAATGAGAGAAGAGTCAACAGATATCCCCGAAGTGCCACGCATCGAACGAAAATCGTCCCCGGACCATTGTGGGACTATTTTTGGACAGTCCTCCTGTGGAGGGACCTGCCCGACGGAAAGCTCCTCCTCCGTCTCGATGAGGATGCGCTCGTCGACCTCGCTCTTGAGCTTGAGCACCACCACGTCGCACACGCGCACCAGCTTCTTGTGCTCCGTGGCGTCGAGCATGAGCCGCGCAGCTCCTCCGTCGACCTCCGCGGCAAGCTGCGGGAGGGTCTTCGCCTTCCCCTTTCCGAACGCACTGGTGTCGATGTTGTGGTCCTCCAGCATCCTGGAGAACAGCTTGTGGTCGGTGCTCTCCTGCAGCAGGGCATCGGAGGACTCCTTGCCCTGGCGGAACCAGTCGTCAAGGTCCCTCTGCCTCGCCTTGTCGAACCACTCGTACACCATGCGATTGTTCATCTTATCCTTGAGCACGAACTTACTCGCATCGGCGTGGCCCGACTGCTTCGGCTCCATCGGCGTGACCGCTCTGACCTCCAAACCTACCTGGGAACATCTTATGTTGTGTTCTTTGTTCAACCGGTCGATCAATTCCTGCCGCCTCTCCTTGATGCCCTCGTTCGCATCATCTATCCTCATGTCCTGGATCGGGCCGTCGTCATCCCGGGGATCCCGGCTGGAGGGCGACGTAGGGGATGACTCATCCCCTGCGTCGCCCTCCTGCCCACGTTGAGCGCGCTGAGCCTGTGCAGCTGCCACCTTCAGGCCGTAATCGACCCAATCGTGCGCCATCACCTGGTCTGCTGACAGTCGGGCGTCCTCCTTTTTCTGCAGCAACTTCCTAATGAAGTCCTGGCAGACCTGGTTGACCCTCTTCGGCATTTTCGGCTCTCTCGTTCGGATGTCGCCCTCGTCCCCGAAGGGGAATCGGCCGCTCACCAAGCCGTACACGATGACCCCCAGCGCCCACACGTCCACCTTCAGCCCGTAGTTCCTGTCGAAGAACTCGGGCGCCCAGAACATCGTGGTGCCAGCGGCGGCGCTCAGCCGCTCGCCCTGGGACACCTGACAAGCGGTGCCGAAGTCCGAGAGCACCACCTTGCAGCCCGGGTCCGTCATGTCTCTTCGGTCCATGAGGTAGTTGTCGCCCTTGATGTCGCGGTGGACGATCAGCTTCGAGTGCAGGTACTGGAGGGAGGCCCCCATCTGCCGCGACACGTGCACGATGTGGTGGGAGCCCATCGGGCCCTTCGCCTCCAGGTGCCTCTGCAGGCCCTCCACGAGGTCGCCGCCGCCGTACTTGTCCATGACGATGCACACGAAGCACCTCTCGTAGTAGACCCCGTGGACCCTCACGATGTTGGCGTGGTCCAGGCCCCCCAGCAGGGCCGCCTCCCTCTTGATCTCCTCCACGGGCGTCTCCACCCGGTCCACCATCTTCACCGCGTACTCCCGCCCCGTGGTGCGGCGGACGCAGCTGGACACCACGCCGAAGGCGCCCTCGCCCAGCTTCGGCCCCACCTGACTACCTACCAGACCACCCCAACCCAACCCGAAGACCCAAATTTCGGGTTGGGGGGGGTATGGGTTCCATTCGTGTTTTTTCGATGTTTCCCGAACCCCCCCCCCACTGGAAATCGAGGGTAAATCTGAGCCTTCGGGTTGGGTTGGGGTGGTCTGGTAGGTGGTGACCACCGTGTACTCGTCCAGCAGCCGCCTGCCCCCGGGCCTCGGCCTGCCCCCCTCCGCGCTGGGGTCGGAGGCCGCGCGCGAGACCGGCTCCTCGGCGGGGGCGCGCGGCCCCCCCGCGGAGGAGGACGCGCAGCCCATGGGGTGGGCCCCGCCCTCGCGGGGCGTCCCTGGCGGAGGTGCGCCAGGCGCCCCGGGGGTGGTGGAGGGGGGGGGGGAGGGGGCAATATCGAGCAGGGGCCGACCGTCCCGGCATGCCCGTGGGCCTGCCGCGGAGAATCCTCAGCACCCCACGGCGAACAGTTCTCCAGGAGCAGCAGCAGCCGCGCTCTCGGGACCCACGTGCGCCCGATGTGTGTTGAAGCAGGGCAGCCTCAGCCAGAACTGCACGGAGAACGGCTCGTGCAGACCGCACAGGAAAACTCTCGGCACATTCTCTGGTGGGCCTCCTCAGGCAAGAAGCCAGGACGCTCCGCCCCTGCTCGGGCAGTGGAGGCGGGCGGGGAGAGCCGCCGAGAGGGGCCGCCGAGACCTGGAGCCAGCATGCCCACGCGAGGGGGCAGGGAGGAGAGGAGGGAGGGAGGGAGCGAGCGGGGAGCGCGAGGGGTGGGTCGCGGAGAGAGCAGCGGCGGGACGCACACCCGCGCAGGGAGCAGGGAGGAGGGAGGGGGGGAGGGAGCGGGCAGCGAGTGGCGGGGCGCAGAGAGACGGGGGGACGAGGGACGGCGGCGACGAGCACGAGTGGATACCGGTGTGTCCCGGCGATCCGCTCTACAGAGGCCCCTGGTCAGGGGGCAGGGAGGGGGAGGGCGCCAGTGGGAGGAAGGACGAGGAATGCAGGAGTTGTACAACGAGTAGACGGGGGAAGGACGCTGCTCGATGCCTTTTGCCCCTTTGAATGTCCCGGGAGGGCGTCCCCGCGCCAAGGATAGACTCGCTTCGGCATCCTCGTCACACCGCGCTCCATGGCAGGTCGGAGTCAAGGTATCGATTTGAAGGGTGCTAGGGGGACGAGCCGTGGGAAGGAAGGAGGGAGAAGAGTAGAGCGACCGAGGGATACGCAAGGAGGAAGGAGGGAGGGAGATGAAAGGGATGCAGGGAAGGGGAGAAGGGACGAGGCACGAGAGGGCACAGCAAAGGATAGTTGCACAAGGGATGAAGGAGGGAGGAGGGCGAGGGGCGGAAGAAACATGCAAGAAACGTGAAGACGCACCGCGGCGCGGCGGTCAGTGTGTTAATGTTATAGAGTTTCGCGCCATGCGGCCATGGCGACACGCCGAGCCCTGCCAGCGAGTAGCGTGTCGCTCCGCTCCGCGGGGCGGACGAGGAGGAGGAGGAGGAGGAGGTGTGGGAAAGGAGGAGGAGGGGAGGGGTGGAGGAGGAGGAGGAGGAGGGGGAGGAGGGAGGGGGAGGAGGAGGGGGAGGGGGAGGGGGGGAGTGGATAGGAGGAGGAGGAGGTGGAGGAGGAGGAGGTGGAGGAGGAGGAGGCGGAGGAGGAGGAGGAGGAGGAGGAGAAGGAGGAGGAGGAGGTGGTAGGAGGGGGGAGGAGGAGGAGGGGTGAGGGGAGAGGGGGATGGGGGAGGGGTAGGGGGTGGTGGAGGGGGAGGAGGAGGGGGAGGGTGGTGGGGGAGGGGGGGATGACAAGCTAGGTGCGCTCGCGTCATATCTGACGTCCTACCCCTCCCTCCCATCCCTTACCATGGCGCTGATTTTCTCTATCCGCGGACGCGTGTCGTAGCGGACCTGTGGCTCGCGCGCGCGTGCGTAGTGGGTGGTGGTGCGCGTGCGTGCGTGCGTGCATGTGTGCGTGGTTGTGGTGGTGGTGGTGGTGGTTGTGGTTGTGGTCGGTGGTGGTGGTGGTGTGGTGGTGGTGGTGGTGGTGCTGTGGTGGTGGTGGTGGTGGTCGGTGGTGGTGGTGTTGGTGTTGGTGGTGGTGGTGGTGTGGTGATGGTTGGTGCTGGTGGTGCTGGTGGTGGTTGGTGGTGGTGGTGCGGCGCGGTGGTGGCGGGCGGATGGGCGCGCGAGAAAGAGCCCCGCGCTGGGGCGAGAACGCCATCCTGAACGACGGAGGCCAACACCGATCCGAAAATGAGGCCCGCACTTGCTTGCTTGCAGGCGGTGGATGAGCACTGATTGGATAACGATTCGGGAGCAGAAATGAGGCCGGCGCCTCAGCGAGAGCAGCATTTTGAAACAAAACGCAGGCGAAAGCCCAACTCCCGGGAATCCTGTGTGTAAATTATCCCGGCAAAGCAACCTAACATCGATATGTAGAAGCATAGCTGGAGGCATGCAGCAGCAGTAACAGTCACACTAGTAGTAGCAATAAGAGCAGGAGAGATGAAACAGTGGTAACAGTGAAGTAGTAGTTGTAGTTGGCGGGAGTGAACGAGTGAAGTGTAGTAGTAGTGGTGGGTGTTGTGGTAACAGCGAAGTGAAGTATAGTTGGAGTGGGTGGATGGCAGTAGTAGTAACAGTGAAGTACGGCGGATGTCTTGGATAGTAGAATGGTAGTAGGGGAAGTTAGCCCCCGTAGTAACGGTATCCGTAAAAAGTAATAGTAGAATGTATGTCGAACCGAGACACTGCTATCAATGCGCGGAGCTTGAATGGATGTATTTGCAAACGAGACACTGCTATCAACGCGCGGAGCTTATCCCGGCAAAGCAACCGAACAGCCATGTGTAGGAGCATCTCTGGGTCGAACAGCATCTCGACGAAAAGGCAGCGACAAAAAAGGTGACGTCGACGACGGCGGTGGCGGCGGCGACGGCGGCGGCGGCGGCGCCCCCCCCGCCGCCATCCGCAGAGGTGGCTCGTTCGTGTTCTTCGTGGCCCGCCATACCCGGGCCACATTTGTTGCTTGTTGATAGCAGTGTCTCGTTTCCATATATGCTTCCAGCATGTGTAGAAGCATATATGGGAACATCCCCCTTGAGATTCAGATGAGAATCCAGTTGTCGAGCCGAAATAGGAAAGCCAAGACGTGTCCGTACTGGTGGGGACGACAGTACCTGCAGTAACAATAGTCAATAGTAGTGGCATTGGCAGTAGCTGCAATAACAGCTATCAAACGAGACACTGCTATCAACGCTGGCAGTGTGTCAAACAAAACTTTGCTATCAATTTTGGGAGTCGTGTAAAAAGGAGACACTGCTATCAACGCTGGAAATGTGTCAAAACGAGACACTGCTATCAATAATGGAAGTCGTGTGCAAACGAGACACTGCTATCAACGCTGGAAGTGTGTCAAAACAAAACTATCAATAGTGGCATTCGTGTAAAAAGGAGACACTGCTATTAACGCTCGCAGTGTGTCAAAACGAAACTTTGCTGTGAATTATGGGAGTCGTGTGAAAAGGAGACACTGCTATCAACGCTGGCAGTGTGTCAAAACGAAACGTTGCAGTGAATTTTGGGAATCGTGTAAAAATGAGACACTGCTATCAACGCTGGAAGTGTGACAAAACGAGACAGTGCTATCAATAGTGGCAGTCGTGTAAAAAGGAGACACTGCTATCAACGCTCGCAGTGTGTCAAAACGAAACTTCGCTGTGAATTCTGGGAGTCGTGTAAAAAGGAGACACTGCTATCAACGCTGGAAGTGTGTCAAAACGAGACACTGCTATCAATAGTGGGAGTCGTGTAAAAACGAGACACTGCTATCAACGCTGGCAATGAATGATGATGATGAGTGCGATGATGAGTGCGACGATGAGATGATGACTGTCCTTTTTTCAGAGGACCGCGCTGAGGAGCGGCGTGCGAAGCGGAGAAGCTGCAAAGCGCGCAGGCTGAAAAGCGTTGCAGACACGCGCAGGCTGGAAAGCATTGCACGACACGTGCAGGCTCACCGCGCACAGCTGCACACGAGCGCAGGCTGAGAAGCACCGCGCGCATGCAGGCTGAGAAGCACCCCGCGAATGCAGACGGACAGACTGAACAGCACCGCCACAACGCAAGCTGCATCTCATGGCTCCTCAAGCTCGCGCAGGCCATCCCAGTTGCTGTCGGGCCTTCGCGCAAGCGATCTTCGTCGCGGCAATCTTGTCCGCGAAGAGCTCGGCGAAGGCCTTGGCGATCTGTTCCGGGGGGCCGGATTCGATGATGCTCCGGTCAGGCAAGCCGTGGCTCAAGAGTTGGTTGAAGCTTCTGGGGCGAAACAGGCTGACGTAGTAGGCAAGCCTAATGGACTCCTTCTTGAGTCGTGGCGGAAACGTCCAGTGCACGATGAAGCCTGGGTCCGTCGTCTTGCCCTGGACGCCATGCAGAGTCCCCTGCTTCTTGGGCAGCACGGTCAACTGCGTCCTGGACACCGCGATGGCCGGGCCACCTGTCTTCGCTTTGAACTTCCAGGGGCGCGCCTGCGGGGTGGTCGCGAGCACTCCGCGCAGGTCGGGGCCGGCAGGCTGAGAAGCACTGCCAGCTGTCACCGGCGCGGCCTTCAAGAAAAGTTCATCGCTGTCATCGATCTGGACATAGACGGCCTTTGGCATGTAGTAGAGTACGACCACGCCGTCCGAGACAATGGACGGGCGGCCCTCCACCGGAGGCTCCAGAGCGCGCAGCTCTATGCCTACCACTTTGCCTGGCGCGCCACGGACATACTTCGGCGGCAAGACGGATTCTGTCAGGATGACCTCCATGCCAACGAAGAGCGGCAGCAGCACCGGCATTTTTGCGGTAGCGCCGATGTTGGGCTCCGCGCGCATCTCGTCGTAATCAGGCTTCGCGAGGCGCGCAGCTGGTCTGTCGATTGCTGGGACGTAAAAGAGCAGCTGGCCAGCATCGTGCGCATCAAGCTTGGCCTGTGCATGCATGGCGTAAGAGACGACGCGCCACTCATAGGCCGACTCGTACCAGCCTCGCGCTGCACGCAACCGAGGGCCCCATTGAGGTGGCTGAGCGGCTTCGCTGCTGCTGGCAGCAGGCTGACCAGCACCGCTAGGGCTAACGACCTCTGTGTTGACGATCGCCTGCCAGCTCTCGTCAGAGATCTTTTTTCCGCCTGGAGTTCTCATGGCGTGGAGAACCTCGAGTTGCAACGGGTCTGTAAAGCGCTGCATCTGCACGGAATCGATGACGTACTCGAAGTCGGCGAGCAACTTCCTACCCTGTTGGTGTTCGTAGGACTGGCCCGT